CTGAGGGATTTCATTTTTTTTTTTTTTTTTTGGAAAAGTATAGGTGCGAATGTTTGCTCATTTATTCATTCAACGTGAGAAAATGTTAATAAAGATACGTGTAACGGAGAGGTATCGACGTGAACGATAAAATCAGTATATTCGCGCATTAAAGCAACGATACTGATGTTTGTTTAAATATTTATTAATTATGACGCGAATTTCATTCATTTAGCAAATATTATAAAACGTAGTTTGCATTTTATAATTTTGTACAAGGGTTATCTTTATATGCGGTTCGTATTTTTTCATTAATTAGTATACATTCTCGTTTTTTCTTATTTTCGATTTCTTATTTCCAGTTTAAAAAGATGTATTTTTTCAAGCTGATAAATTCTTTGTATTTATATTACTCTTTTCGACAAAAGTTGAAATTGTACAGAACAAATTTGTAGGAAATAAAATGAAATTTATTATTAATTGAAGGTGATATCAGAAATTATAATGACAGAAAGTTTTCTAAATGAAATGCAAATATCAATATTCGATATAATACAAATAATTTTTTATCGAAAAGAAAAAGGTGGAAAACGAAATCTTAGATATTCAATTTGTAATAACTTCATCGGATAAAAAATTTTCTACAGTAAGGAAAAATATACATTAGACGTGATTCTCTCTTTTATGTAATAATTAAATTTATTTTTATTAAAGAAAATAAATTATTCGTTTTGTTTTTTATATATTTTTTCTCCATATTTTTGTATTATTATTTTTATATTTTTGCTACCTATGGTTTGAAATTAAAGTTAGTCCAGATATATTACCTCATTAGCTCTGGATACAACTTTTTTTCTTGATTTAATTTTTATTTCCTCGTCTTTGTTACCGATCAGATTGCAAGATCTCCTTTCATGAATAATCATCAATTTTCCTCTTAATTTGTAAAATTATATTTAATTACATATTAAGTTTCTTTTTTTTTATATATCTTTATTACTTTTCTATTTTATTCTTTTTTTTCAATTTAAATATTAGAACGTGAATCTGAATTATAATAATAGAATATAACAATAAAATTAGTAGATAAAAATGAAAAAACAAAAGGACGAATAATTTTAAAGACGAATAATCTAAATTTTCAAATCATATGGAAAATTTATATTTTTAATCGTAAGTAGTGATATTTTATTTTAAATTTTCTAGAATTAACATTAATATTACTTTTATTCCTTGAATTTGCAAAATTGAAAATATAAAATAATTATTTTTAAAAATTCAGGATTCAAACAAATCTTACAAAGTTTTGGATTCGAGTTTCAAGAATTTAAAAATTAAATTCGAATTCATCCACCTTTAACTTTTCATTCTTTAATTTTTAACAAACGATGAATGAATTTTTCATATTGCTTGTATCGTCATTTTATTCATTGACGTGAAATATATTTGGAAAGCTGTGTCCAAAAATAACGAGTTGACACATTAAACCGTGAGAGTTTATGATGCGTGAATCACGATGGAGAATAAACGAACAAAGTGTTGCAGTATAATATAACAGTGACATGGAACTGTTATAAGAATAAAATCGTTTTTAACTTTATCCTCTCTCTTGTACAAATTATCCAAGAATTTTTTCTGATGCAATTTTTTTCACAATATCATTTAATATTTGAATAAAAGAATTTTATCTTTTATGTTTTCTTTTATCCATTTTTTTCTGGTCAAAATTTTTAAAGAATAATTTCACATTTATCGCATTTATACACGCGTTTTTTTTTATTTTATTTTCGAATTGTAAATAATAATATTATCATCAAAAATGGCCTTTCAAAATTTAATTCGTAATGTTTCGGTGATGATTTTTTAATTTTTTATAGTTGTTTCATTTAATTTTACGTAATTTTACGTAATTATACAAAAATATGAAACGTAAATGAATGAAAACACAAGACGAGCAAGTTTATTTCGAAACAATAAAAATATTTCACGTAAAAATGATATATATATATATATAACATTATTTTTCAACGAATCGTGAGATATTTGCATCTCGAGTAAAAGAGCTCTTTGCAAACTTTGGATATAATTCCGTTATTTTTTATTCATGAATATAAAATGAAAAGAGATAGATATACGATTTGAAATAGCTATACAATTATCAAAAATAATATTTTTTAAATGGAATTTTTCGTTTATTTTAAGAATAAATTATTACATCCAATGTTGCAAAAAAAGACTTAATAATAAAGAAACGTGTCCAAATTGGATGACAAACGTCAAAAAATTTTTAAAAATTGAGAGTAATATTCTAATCATTGCACGAATTTATTTCCTTACTCAACTTCCACGCAAACAATGGAACAAAACAAAGGAATCGTGAAATGAAACTTCTCCCTAAATATTTTCGTCCCTTGCGAAAGATAACGAATTAGTTTCGACAGGATGGTGTTGAAGCAGATGTTTAGATAACGTATAACTGGAGAACGAGAAATCGGTCGCGTCTGAAAGGCGAAAGCTGTAAAGTTGGCGTGCTCGAGCGCAGTCAGCTGGATTTAGGTTGGTTGGTCGATGCTCACCGGCTTCTCCGCTTTCGTACGATCGATGCGCTCTCGTCTATCAAGATGCAGGAAGCTTCAACCTCGTGGCATGCCCGATTTAAATGTACACACGCAATTACTCGTCGTTCTATCGAACACGTCGACGAATTTATACGGTTCGAACTTTCAAAAATAATGGAATACGGGATTCGAGGATAGAATGAAAATTCATGTGGCAAGAACGATGAGATTGAAATTGGCCCGATATTTAATCGTTCTTCGTTCCATACAAAAGAATTTCAGAAAAATTAATATACGATATCCTTTGTGAAATAACTGGGATGTCACGTATAATTATCGATCGCAATTATTAATAAAATTTGATCGGTTTTTATTTGTATAATCAATTTGTACCTTAAACTTTAAAATTTTACTTTTCGTTAATATTTTTAGAAAAGGCGCACGATTTCATTTGCAATTAACCGTATATT